ATAACAGCTTCAACTCTTCTGGGAAGGCTGTCCACAAGGTTTAGGAGTGTGTTAATGGGGATTTTTGACCATTCTTCCAGAAGTACGTTTGTGAGGTCAGACACTGATGTTGGACGAGAAGGCCTGGATCACAGTCTCCGCTCTAATTCATCCCAAAGGTGTTCTATTGGGTTGAGGTCAGTCAAGTTCTTCCACACCAAACTCACTCATCCATGTCTTTATGGACCTTGCTTTGTGCACTGGTGCGCAGTCATGTTGGAACAGGAACGGGCCATCCCCAAACTGTTCCCACAAAGTTGGGAGCATGAAATTGTCCAAAATGCCTTGGTATGCTGAGACATTAAGAGTTCCTTTCACTGGAACTAAGGGGCCAAGCCCAGCTCCTGAAGAACAACCCCACATCATAATCCCCCCCCTCCACCAAACTGTAAACTTGGCACAATGCAGTCAGACAAGTACTGTTCTCCTGGCAACTGCCAAACCCAGACTTGTCCATGGGATGGCCAGACAGGGAAGCGTGATTAGTCACTCCAGAGAACGCGTCTCTACTGCTCTAGAGTCCAGTGGCGGCGTACTTTACACCACTGCATCCGACGCTTTGCATTGCACTTGGTGATGTAAGGCTTGGATGCAGCTGGTCGACCATGGAACCCCATTCCATGAAGCTCTCTACGCACTGTTCTTGAGCTAATCTGAAGGCCACATGAAGTTTGGAGGTCTGTAGCATCCACTGACCCTGCTCTGTGATTTTATGTTGCCTACCACTTCGTGGCTGAGTTGCTGTCGTTCCCAATCGCTTCCACTTTGTTATAATACCACTAACAGTTGACTGTGGAATATTTAGTAGTGAGGAAATTTCACGACTGGACTTATTGCACAGGTGGCATCCTAACACGATACCATGCTGGAGTTCACTGAGCTCCTGAGAGCAACCCATTCTTTCACAAATGTTTGTAGAAGTGGTCTGCATGCCTAGGTGCTTGATTATATACACCTGTAACCATAGAAGTGGTTGGAACACCTGAATTCAATGATTTGAATGGGTGAGTGAATACTTTTGGCAATACAGTGTATATTTTTCCCCATTATGTATGTATAGATGGCATAGACGGCAGTACATACCATTTGTCTCATTGTATCAAACTTTGAATCCACCGCAATTTACACACCAATTTCTAGGTTCAACTTTCACCTCTTGTACTTATTACCAACATTTCAGGTACAAATACTTTGTTTTACCTCCAAATAAACTGGCATAGATTATCTGGCTGAACTACTGGTTTGTTTACAATCTCTGATCACACTACTGTGTCACAATGCTGCCATCTTTCCATGGTTCAGTAATGACCTTGGTGACGACAGTGTTACCACAACTGCTGGAAATAATGGGTAACTGCTACAAAAATAAAACTGACAACAAAACCTGGAATGATCCTTTAAGTATCTGCCTTGTGATGTATCCGTGAGTAAGGCAGTAAATGCCCTGCAGCTCCACTGCTGCTGAACATGTGCTTAGCCTACTACACTAATATCCTAATAGAAACACTTGCATTTGTGCTAAGAAGAATCTTTGAATGATTGAAACAAGCCAAAACAGATCTTGTATGGTTTGCTTTCTGTTCTTTGTAGTTACGTGACAGACAAGCACAGAATACGCCTGCTCTCTCTCACAGGCAGATACTTGTTGCAGCTGAACTTGTTCCAGTGTTGGCTCTGCAACCAGCCACGTTTGGGATCGGGAAGCCTGCAGGGTTACCCATCAGTCATTTCTGCATTGGTTACAACCACAATCATATTATTTTACTAGGACAGGAAAAGCAGCATAATGTTTCACAGAAAACAGACTGGTGGGGACAGTATCCCCCGTTACATCACCGAATTCCCAAAGACTGATGGTGTTACATTCTGTTCAGTCTCAAAGTTAAAAGTTTAATGTGAAGAGAATAGGGGATGGTGGGTAAGACTGCGTGACCAAGTTTGTAATAGCTTGGCTTTGGTGGGGGGGGGGGGGGGGGAATCAATCTCTGGCTCTGTCTAAACACTGCAGGCTCGCAGCAGACCCGGCGGAGCCGAGGACAATGTTTACAGGACTCCACAATGAGGTGACATTATTTTTTTTGTCTACACCCCCCAAATCTCATCAGGACATCCGCTGGATTTTCTCATCCATCAGTGATGTTACATCATATTCATGCATGCAAATAAATAAGCTCCAAGCTCACAGGCAGTGACTGGTGTTTTTGAGAATGGACAAAGAAGAAAGTCCCCCACAGGCCTGTTACGACACCATTAACTGCTGACTTGACTGGTGGTGGATGCAGACACCAAAGTGCCACCGCCGCCAATTGTTATTCAAGTTATGCTTGTCGCTTCCATCTTTTAAAGTGTGATTTTTGGCGTCCTCATCAGGTCCTGAGAACAGACAGCCAAGTCACATTGGGTTTCATAATGTGTGGTGCTGTTTAGGTGGAAGGCTGAACTCTCCTGTTGCTATTTAGAGGCCGTTTCCTAGAAACCCCATCGTCCTCTCTTGCTGTTCTCCCAGCATCTCTCTGAGGGAAAGTAATAGGATTTTCAATGCAAATTTCAATATTGCTCTAAGAGGCTTTAGCTCCAATTACAATTTATTTGGAAAAGGAAAATCACCTTGTTTTCTGACAAAGGTAAATCCTATAGTCCTTTGATGAGATAGTCATCATCTAATGATTGTGATGATGTATGGTCACGGCTGACAGGCAGGAAATCTTTTACCAAAACTGAGAAATCCTCTCTGCCTGTTGGCTCACTGGACTGGGATGACTGTTTGGGTCTTAAGTGTATTACAGTGTTAGTCTCTCTCTTAATCACTTTCAGAAACAAAACACTTGTTCTATTTGTCCTTGCAGAGGCTTGGATCAGTGCGAGCACAGGGACCTTCAGACTGATTAATATACCCATGCTGCAGGAAGATTTCAGTTTGATCCAGAGCAATCTGCTTGTATTTAGGAAAATTCTTTTATTTCGAGCTGGAGGGGACATTGAGAGACGCTTTTGTTTTGCAGAAGAGTTGGCTTGACTACGGTTTCTGTCTATAACAACAGTCTAAGCTTTCCAAACTTGTGTATACAAAGGAACCAGTGGATTCCAATTAGTAACATAAACAGTTACCTTGGGCTGGATCACACAGGAAACACAGAACCAAGTTGGACACCGGAGCAGTGCCAGAGTTACAATAAGAAGAACTATGAATCAGTGACTCTGATCCAATAGTTCTCATGTGGCCCTTGTCAATTTTCTATTAAACATGAAGAAAACCCAATTCTTCAACTACTTTCATTTAAACAATTGAGAGCAGCACAGTTAAATGTACTGCGACTGGGGGAATGTAGCATTGAAAGACAACTCAAGTGATAAATACTGTTCACTTCTCCAGAGAGAGCACAAGTGCACCTCAAGTACTTCCTCCTATTGAGTCCTATTCTCAGTCCTAGTCCTGAGACTGACGCATGGCAGGCTCTCTGTGGCCCTTTAGCACAGGGTTGCCTTGGCAGCTGCTCCAGGACTCCACGGTCTCTGCTGATAAGGAAGAGGAAGTAGCTGTGGCTCAGAAAGCAAGGTAGAATTTCCACACTCTCACACTTTCCTCTGTGTTACTCTAACCTTAACGCTAACAATTTTTTGCTGATAGGAAATCACATTTATCCTTGGTGACACCCTGTTCTTACTACAGTTATGCTGGTACTGTGGCTTATTCTCCATGCTGATGTCTAGACTACACGTGTCAAGAAAGTTTGGTATGCAGGCCTACGTGTGAGCAGAAAGCACCATGTGCATTAATGGAAACAAGAGTGGTGAGGGAGAAAATGCAGCAAATGAGCCTTCGTCCTCTTCAAACCAAACACCGAGTGGGACAGAGTGATACAGCTTAAATTCTTTGTTACGCAAGATCCATCATATCTGTTTGGACAAAAAAAAGGATGTCTTCTTGCGGTTCTATTTTTAGAGAGGACCGACATCGTCGACATACTGATCTGCCGCTCTGACACCAGGCTGCAGCCTCTCTCAGTCATGGATGCTTGGTGAAGTAATACTTAAAAAGGTTTATATTCGCTGCCATGTAAGGGGGTAAAGGAAATGTGGATGAATCACAGGTGTGTTTACAGTGCATGTGGGCAGGGAATGTGCTCCTGTCGTCACTGCATTTCTCTGCCTCTAGCTAAAAGACACTGCATACTGATTAGTTTATGGGCTCGGTGACGGGGGAAGGGCTGCTGGACCAACTCAAAGGCAAATTCTGATTCATAAGTGAGAAACATTCAGGGCCAAGCTCATACTGGGCCCAGATGGGGAAACAGAGATGCTTTTAGTTACATGAAAGAGAGGAGAAGAATTAAGATATCAGCATAGTGCTTTGTCAGAATTAAACATCTGCTTGGCAGCATCAAGTGATATAATACAAGTGAGAAGCAACATTATCCATGTGTGTCGAAGATGAAGAGGAAAGACAGAACCGCAGCACGAACTTGAGCCTCTGAATACTTAGTGAGGTTAAGTGAGGCAGAAGGCAGTGTCCATGGAACACACTTCCTTTATCATTTCAGACAACTTCTCCTTTAATACAACACTGAGGAACTGAGCCAGTAATAGTTCGATCTGAACCACACATTGGGAAATGAACTTAAAACTTACACCTCACAGTGGCAATGCAAAGCAAATCTACATGTCTCTGCTTGTAACATAATGGCTACTAGCACTGTTGTGTCTAACTAGGCAATTATTTTCAAGGGAATATATTTACACTATCCATTTGTGTCTCACAACTGATGGCAAACAATGCCGCATGTTTTTTGTAGGGGACTTTATACAGAGGTGTGTGTCCTCCATTTTGGACTTAATTCTCTCCGTTCCCTCAAGGATCAGCAGTGGTTGATGAGTGTGCCAAATTTTAACAAACCTGCATTTGTGAATCTATTAATCACAAAAATCCCACCAGAATTAAAGCCCTGAAATGTGGTTTGTTGTGCAGAATGGTCACCATGTTACCTGAATGCCTTACCTTTCATACAGCTCTCTATCCTGTGGATGAGCTGGTAGGACTTGCAGCGGTCCAGCAGGGTCCGGATGGCTGGAAGAGGGTCCAGGACAATGGTCTCAGGATGGGCATCAATGTAGTCCTGAAACACCAAGACACAAACATTCCCCTCACGTTTGATTTACATTGTATACGTTCACATAAAATAAAAACGACAACTTCAAAACAACAAAATTCTGTCTGTGCCCTGCTCGGTCATACGATGCGCTAGCCAAGCGAACAAACATATTGAAGTGGACAAACAACAAATTCAAACACCGAGTTGAAGGGTCATCATGCCTCCCTGTGTGTGTTTGTGTGACCTAGAGAGCATGAGATGCATGTCAGCTGGTCTGTGTACGTTACATCAATGCAACTCTGCATGGCTGCCTGTTAGGTCAACGTGAAGTTTGCTATTTTACATAACTGCATTCCCCTTCCTCACATCCACCCCCCCGCTGCAGCTCTCCGGAATTTCATCTCTGCTCTGTAGAATTCTAAATATAATAAACGTTCCCTCTGAGCAATGGCTCACAAACACTGTCAGGTGGAGCTGGCTAGGCTGCACGTTACACAAACAGCCTGAATGCTCACATCACAGTCCTTTTGAAAACACCACGACTGTCACACACACATTCTCATGAAATTAAACACACAGCAGTGTTGAGGCATCAAACAAATATAGTGGAAAAAATGCCCATTTGTCAGCTAACTCTTATTACACACACACACACACACACACACACACACACACACACACACACACACCAAAGCACAGAGCATATAAACAAATGTCTATGTCTGGACACAGAGTGCCCATCTGTAGGATTTGTTGAGATCTAATGGGCAATGCTGATCAAAGCCAGCTGAGTGGTTATGCAAGTCAAACATGACGCCCCCAAAAAATAAAACTAATCTTCCAAGAGTTTAGAGGACTACTCTGCTTATAAGGATGGTCGCTTGCTGATTTTCACATCTCAGAAGTTAAACACAGACAAAAGGAGGTGAGATAGAGATGAATGCTGGTGAGCAGGTGTTGGAGAGACAAAGAGCCAGACATATGTTAGTGTGGGTGCAGGCCCTGCACACTGTCTGCTTGTTTTTCAGGTCAGATCTATTTCCACAGGGAAAGACGGTCTCTCGGAAGACATGGTCAGCAGAGGATCCTAGGATACGGTGCCACTGGTTGGAAACCATGTCATGCCACAGGCATCAAACATGAGGTGGAAAACCACCTTCAGCACTTAAATTACCCACAAGCACAGGCATGAGATTTACCACATCAGCTAAAATCACATAAGCTGTCAATCACAGACAAGCCCACTAGACCTAAATTATATTTGTAGCAATCTTCAGGTCACAGTACACAAACAAAATTATAAATGTCTGTGGTTTCCAAGTACAGTTTTACCTTCCCAGTGTAATAAAGTGTGTATTGGAGTACGGCAGTAGTGATATTTACATTGATCTAAATCTTCAGGTGTACCACAGATGTTAGTGACTAATTTAATTCTTGAAATCACATCCATCTACACAGATTACTTCTAACGACCTACTGAAAAAAGGATTATCATTGCACACATATTCATGCACCCCTGGAGAAAAATCATGCAAATGATATTTGTCCCAGTTCTGCTCTGCACGCAGTTCACACCTCAGGCCACTGAATCACCAGAACACATCCCAGCCTGACATTTTGTTTTAAATAAAGAGCTATCTTAGAGAGGAAGGCTTACTCCATCCACCGTACAAAAGGTTATTTATGGTCACAGCTGTGTAATATTAGAAATGTGCCAACACTTATATTTTGATTGGAAATGTAATCACAGATGACAGTTATATTCAGGTAAATAGCCGGAGCTAAGGAGGCACGGCTGCTTGATTTACCAGATAATGTTGGTTCCAACTTTCATCTGCAGCCACGGGCTTTCAGTAGGAGCTAAAACAATTCCAGCAACTGCTGTTCCCCTGTGCTGAGGAAAGTCAGCTGAGGTGGTTTGGGCACTTAATATTGCTGCTTTTTGCATGCCATCCTTCAGAGAGGTACTGTAAACAGCTGACTGGGAGGAGACCTCTGGTTAGTATCAAGTCACCATGGTGCCTGAGGACCTCACAGACAAAGAGCTGAAGGAAGTACGAGGGAACGAAGGAGGTCTCTGCTACCCTGCTGTTACTACGACACTGATCTGGCTAAGATGACTGACAGAATAAGAGGCTGACAACTGATCTGCAGTGACTGGGTTAAAGACCAAGCAAGGAAGTTACCACTAAACCACTGTGCCTCTGACATAGGGCAGCAACAAATGGTTACTTTCATATTAATTCATCTTGAGATTATTTTGCAATTAAATGAATTATTAAATACATCTTTAGCACTTTAAATGCAAGAAAATAGTTTTTTTTAAGTGAAAAATGAGCACCACAACCAAAGCTGCTTCTTCAAATAGCTTGTTTTGACCAACAGCTCAAAGACAAAAAAGCAGCAAATGCTTTAATGCTTAAGTAAATTTTAAAAACTGTATTAAAGACAAATCAGGTGAGGGAACCTTATGTAATCTCTTTTGGTCCTTCCACAATTCTAAAATGGAACTATTTCATTTATTTAGCATAATGCAGGGGAACAAATTATCCCCAACCATGTTCTCACTCTAACACTGCCTTATGAGACTCATCAGGCTTTAATGTTTGTAATGGTGGCAGTTTCAAGGGCTATTTTGAGACAACAGAAGTCTACGCCCCCTTCTCATGCGAGCTGTATACTCTTCTTACAGATGGATTCATTTTTATAACGACTATCTGCAACTTCTTGTTTCTGTGCATAAAAGATAACAGGCCCCATGCTGGAAATGAACAGGCCACATTTTGGCTATTATGCAACATTAATTAGTAGAGGTTATGATGCTGTTAGTAGGTGGACATAAACTTAAATTCAATGACCACTGGCTGCGTCTTCTCACCAGTGACTGAAACACATGCAGCTGTAAATCTTTGGTGGTGTTTTGTACCATCTACTGTGAAAAGTTGTCATTTTTATTTGTGCTTTCTTCTTTGAGAATTAAAAGATAGCTCCAGCTGTTATAAATGTACAAAGCCAATGCTGCTGCTATCTGTAGAAGGTGGGGGTCTTTACTGTGGCAAGTTAATCAGGAGTGCTCTTTTGTTAGTGCTTTGTAAACATGTGTGCATATGTTTCAAAATTGCTTAAGAGTACCAAAAAAAAAAAAAGGTGCAAACGCAGCCATGTGTTAATATTGACCAGCTTCTGCTGTTTAAGTGATTGCTCCACACTGACATCCTGTCTGTCCTTCCTAACTGAGCAGCCACGACATATTGACAAAACAGCATGATGCTGATCATGATTACAGCTCTTCTGAGTCACACACATACAGAGACAGAGACAGAGAGAGAGACAGAGAGAGAGAGAGATGGAGTGGAAACTGGTGAAATAAAATAAATGTTCATACCATCTAAAGCACTGCCAGATTAATGAATACACACACACACACACACACACACAGGTTTTTCATAAAGCCACATTTGGAGCTGTGACCTGCTGTCCATGTGAGATGCTTCTCACTTCAGGAAGAATTAGAAAAACTCAAAGAACTTCCAGTGACAGCATTTGGGTTTTATGAGTCACCTCATGTTCAAATATAGTTGCTAATGTCCTTTACGTCCCTGGAGCTGAGTCAAGGCTCTTTGACCCATCCCGTTTGATTCCTTGAAAACACCCTGGTTCCTTGAACTGGGACATTTAAAACAGTAAACATAAAACTTTGTCATCCATAAATGTTTATTGCAATAGCAGTGGGACTGGTATCCACAGCAAGAATTTCTCTTCTCTATTTCAAAACTGTATCTGAAGAGATTATTGAGCATTCAATATCATGTGCGCTGACTGTTGCTGGCTTGTGTAAGGCAGGGCTGGGTATGAGTTGAGGTTTGTGTTATAACACTTTGACAAGAAAAAAAAAAAAAAAGTGACAAACCTCTTGTTTTCACTTAACAAAGAAGTCAACATTCTTCATAGTGAGCTGTGGTTAAAACCGCATAAAAACGTGTGAAGTTTATCTTAAAGTTGAGTTCATATTGTGACTCATACTGTTCTAAAGGTCAATCATGAACTTCAATGCTCAAACATTTAAAATGACAAGCCTAAAAATGCTTTATACACAGCCAAATATGAATTTGAACCGATTCCTTATGTACACAACCCCAGCAGGCTTTTCCAAACCAGCAAATGATCACTCTTGTTTCCACCATACTCCAAGATCTTCTACTATTAAATACTGAGGCGATTCAAGGGAAGACAGAGATGCATACCTGCACTCTCTGCACTAGCAACACCGCTTGTGAATCGTTCTGGTCAGCCTCCAGGATGAGGTCAGTCAGTTTGTGGATGATGACGTCAAGGGGCCCCTGCTCCTCCAGAGGCTGGCTGAGGTCCAGCTAAGGGGAGAGAAGAACAGTCATGGGTCAAGGGTGATGGTGCAAACCAGGGCTGTCCCACACTCAAGTATTCATTTACTGCATTTAGAAACTGATATACCACAGCAGTTATCCACCCATAAGGTCACTGGCGGCTACAATTGGCTACCGTATAATTTCCAGCTTTTATATGTGACCTTTGGGTGAATAGTTTCTGTCGTTTATTCACACCATATTCATCTTATTTGCACTCTGAAGAAAGGGGAGGTTTATCATCTGTATTGGCCTGCTTCATTACAGATGCAGCAGTTTACTGACCAAGCAGCCTAGGTAGGAGGCAGTACTGGTGATGGAGTCTAATGTGTACAGAAAGCTGCAATTACCATATGTATGAGGCTGAATCGCAGCTGCACTTGACTGCCCCGTTATCCAAAACAAAACCAATTTCACAAAAAAGTAAACTTCTGAATTATAAAAAAATGTGTGTCACAAAATAAAATAACTTACTGCTTTTTCAGTGTCACGTACAAGATGGATGGGAGAGTATTTTAGAGGAAAAGGTAACTAGTTTTGGGAAGTCATAAATCTGCAATTACTCCCAGTCTGTCTGTCCATCACATTCGCATAGTTCTGCTCTAGGAAAAACATTTTCTTTTCTTCTTTTTTTGGTTATAAAACAGCATCACATCAACTGTTCTTTTAGTTATTACTTTGGTGCAGCCAGAGTTTTTGTTGTATTTGTTTTGTGTTACACCATCAGGATTTATTTCTGGTGTCAACTTTTTTATGATGCGTTCCACACTTTCATCCACTGGCTAGACCTCCAGTCTCGCCAAACACGTTTGACAGGCTCTGGGGAAAAGCCAAACACCATTCATTTGAAGGTTACTGCAACTGAAAGACTAAATACATTGGCCAAGTAGTTCACAAGTTGTCAAACAAGCTCTCTGAGTGTGATAAGATGTATATGGGCCAATGCATGCACACACAAATATTACAAGAGAGAAAGGTATAAGGTAAGACTGGTAGCGATAATATTCATGCATTTTAGTCTATGGTTGTGCAAAAATTAACAAGATGTACATAAAAAACATGTTTTCATAAACTCTTGTACAGGTCAAATGTAGTGTGTATTTTGTCTGAGAATACGCTTTTAAAGTTACAACTTCAATTAATCACAAATACAAAGAGAAAAATTACATTTGTGCTTTCCTCTATATGAATATGAATTTACAACAGTGACCTGACTGTCAAAATACGTCACAGGCACAATGCACCGAGCAGAAGATGCACTGATTCCACAAACTTGTGTTCAAAACTGGACTTTATTCTTGACTCTTGGAGCCTGATGGACGCGCTTTGACAGATATGAAATGATACTTTAGGTTAGATTTAATAGATCTGGGCTAGATATATTTAAATAATGTTCATTTTATTGATTATTAGTGACTATAATGACCTTGGCGGTGGAAATGGGGAGCTCTCCAGTCAGCTAGCTAGCTTGCCAACACGTTACAGCAACATTCACTGTACCAGAGTTCAAACATGATAAATCCCCAGACACCCACGGACAGTTTGAGTGCCAGCTGCCAAGATGTACACCTGCTCCGTGCTGACACAGCGAGCACATAGTAAAGGTAAGTTAGCTAGTTAGCAGATTGCTGCCTATTCAGCTTTAGGGACTGAATGTCATCAAGACTTTTGTCAACACGTATGATTATGAATTTAGTTTATCCCACAGTATTTGTCAGTTTGTCATTAGGCTAGTGGGAAAAACGGCTGCCACGAGGCCTGTGTTCATCTTAAACTGTGGTTTCACTGCATGTTGTTACTGTTCGGTACCAAACAGTTTTCATTAAGCAACAAGCTGCACCATACTGAGATACATTAAACATTTAAATTTGTGACTGTGGTAGTATGCGCCCCTAAACTGTGAAGTTGTGGTGAAGGGGTTGTGAAATCACAGGGTCACACTCCTACAAAGGCTAAAACTGTACAGAGAGGAGGAACCCCTGGAGAGGACACGGCAGCTGTGACACTCTCCAGAGAGCTAAGCTTCAGTGCTCATGAAGTAACACAAGGACAGTGGAATAAAGAATTACTTGCAATCCATATAACACACCTAACCACAGACTGATAAGACCTACTTAAAGAATGCTTAAGAGTGGACATTATACAGCTGGTTAATACCGCTGTAGATCAGCTCCTCAGCTAATCAGACAATGTGGATCACCTGACCATTACAGACAAAAGACAATTCAGAAACACCTGTGTAAATAGGCCAGAGCTGGGCAGGACTGTAATCTCCTTTGTGCTGTCCAGATGGTAAGTAAAGCAAGAATACACCTTAGTCATAGAGGTGTGGATCAGTGCAAGGCTGTAAAACTGTACAGAGTTTCAGTTGGTTTAGGGTTGGCTGCAGTCAGAGCTATCGTTTCCTGGTTAATGATTGTGAGAGCTGTGATGGATAGATGACTAATTGGAATATCCTTGATCCTGCCCTAAAACGTCAATCGCACAGAGTGGTAAACCTGTTAAATATCAGTTCATTTCAATACCACAAACTGTGGGAGGTCTGTTCTTGTTCTTGATTGTCTCTGAAATACTATATTTTTGTTTGGTTTTTCGGATACCTGGATCTTGTTTTCTTAAGATATGTGTGGGGTGTTTATTCTTATGGTGTCATGTTGTTTTGTCCTTTACTGCTGCTGGAACACTGGAATTTCCCCACTGTGGGATCAGTAAAGTTCTACCTACCTACCTACCTACCATGTCCTTTATACGGGTCTCATCACAGAGGACCAAATATCCAGCTGTAGATCAGGCTCCAAGTTAAGCAACACGCTGTAGAGATAATCTCAGTCTGATATGGGAATATTTTATGAGGTTTTTTTTATGTTGAGTGTGTACAACCTACACAGCAATCATGTAGTTTGTACACAGTATGCAAACAACCAAAGAAATGCCAACACATTCCTTCAAGAGTTCTTTGGGCTACATCAACACAACATCTCTGTCTCTGCTCATCTTCACAGTTGGATCTCATTCTCCAACACTTTCAGTTCCTCCTGCATGCAGGAACACACTCTGCAGCTCATGGTGACATGCCAACATGAACTACAAAAATGTACATGAGCCAGTGAGGCCAAGTGTTCAGTTACTGTTTGCTAGGACTGACATATAACAGGCATCCTCAAATCTAATGAAGCAGCATGACTTGGCCTGGGCATTATAGCTCAAATCCTGTTTCACAGTATGGTACTACATTTCACACTGTTTCAGGAGGTGATTTGCAATGCCGCAGCACTGCAAATGACAATCACAACAATCAAACAGTATGATCACACACACATACTAGAAAGATAAAGCCCAGTTTTAGAAACAAACTGCTGAGGTTCTGGTGACTTGGCGTTTCAGCATTCCAGCTGGTTTATCAGGAATCACATCAGGCACGTAGAGACATGGATGTGGGCACATGACAGACGCATAAAAATCCTGCAACCATGACCTTAATTGCACTGTGTTGGTAAATCAATACCCATAAAATGTCACCCGTGGATAACCTACACCTGGGTCAGTAACACTAGCTGCTGATCACAACAGTGACATGAGGTAAAATACATCACTATCTGTCTAGCGATCAGTGTCAGTGTGACAGGGCTGAGTGGATGAGAATTTGTCCGCACTCCGCTGAGGCACGGTTTTTAATCTCTTGCTTACACAACACAGAGGGCCCATCAACAGCCTGACCTCTCTACAGAAACAGGACTCTGCGTCATATGGTGTCAGCACCCACTGGCAAATACACATCACAGAGGATGCTCTCCTCTCCCTGTGCGTGGGCAGAGCGACCCCGCTTTAGAGCTCATCCAAAAACCCAACAGTGAAGTCACTGATGTCCTGCTAAATGCTAAAAGCAGAAATGTCAGCTGATGTCTCTGCAAGTCCCTCTGGGAGTTGGTGCTAGCAGTGGGTCCTGGTAGTGAGGGAGAGCATAGAAAACACACTGGTGGGAGAGGGTAGGCTGGGGCCAATATATTTTCAGCTTTGATGTAGCTCCTCAGTTGGGGTGAGCTATACCCGGGGGAAATCTAAGAAGAGTGATCCAGAGTGAACAGCAAGGACAGAGCCGATAGTGTACTGCAGATGTACACTGAACGCAAACTGCATGAAGCCCAGTTTGTCTCAGTGTCTCTGCTTCATCCTTTAGATGTCTCTTTCTAGTTGACCCGAGGCTGGATTTAAACACCTGGCTTTTGCTTTGTTGTCAGACCAGATGAGACAAAGACTGTATACAGGCATGTGATGATGCAATGTATTTCGCATGCTGTGTGGCACTTGACACCCTAGCGTAAGTGAAACATGCTACAGGGCTACAGTCTGCGGGAGATCACTCACATTTTGCAATCAAACTGATTTAAGGTGCGACTGCAAAACAGACAGGTTGTGCATGAAAGACTGCTCTCCCTGTAGAAATGATGGACAGACGTAACACTCTCTGGGACACTGTCATTGCAACATTTATCTGCAGGTCCATCACTCGCCCATCTCATGAAGCAGAGACCTCCAATCTATCAAACGTGTCGATCCACAGTGGCGCCAAGACACACATCATCCTTAGGCTCCTTTTTTACGCTTCGAGTCTATTTTTTCCCTTTGGCACATTAGAAGTGTAATCACCCCAGACAGCTGTTTAAATCAGGTAGATCACACGTTAGCTTGTTTATGTGTTGGAAACATTCCAGTTGTGATGGATAAAAAGCTCATGGTGTCATTGTGAGCTTTCTGGTTTTACTTCACCCCGTCCTTTGTAGAAAGATGGGGAAATAAAAAAATTAATAAATCCATACATATAAAAACTGCTGATGAGCCTACATGAAGACTATTTTTGTCAGTACATTTCTGCTGTCAGTCAGCCTGGTGAAGTTTGTGGTGTCCTCCTGCTGACAGACAGCCGCCCTGGTGAGAGAGACTGCACGGAGGTTGGAGTCAGTGTGGAGTGTACAGATCAAATATTCCCA